CAGCAGTTAATCTCAGGCACATGAATGAACCCACCCATGCCACACTGCAAAATGGCAAGCTGAATAAATGCTGTTTTAAGCAACAGTTTTATCATGTAGTAAAAATAAGGTTCTTGTTGTTCTTTTAAAAAATCTAGGAATGGGCATTGTAGCACGGGGGAATAAGCTGCCACTTGCAAGCCCCGCATCAGGTACCTGATTGTTGGTTCGGTCCTGGCCACTCTGTATCCAATCCAGCTTCCTACTAATGCATTCCAGGAGGCAGCAGGTCACAGCCCAAGTACTCAGATTCCCGCACCCTCGTGGGAGACTTGGACGGAGCTTTGGCTTCCTGACTTCATCTTGGCCTCGCCCTAGCTCTTCTAGGCATTTTGGGAGTGAACCAGTGGACGAAAGCTCTCATTCTCATTTGCTCTACCTCTGAGTGGATGAAAATATTTTTAAAATGTACCTAAAGACCTCAACACACTGAGATCACATATCTACACGGTAAGCTTTTCCCAGGGTGTCACTCTATCACCACACCGATGACAGGAGCAAGTTCAGCTGCCATACGTCATCTCAGTTGGCTGTTTATTTACAACAAAAAGTAAAATACATATTCCACTAACTCAGGTTACTGTCCTAAGCAAGTACATAAACACAACCGATTTGTAAACCTGCATGCCAGCGTCTACCAAGGTAGATTCATGCTGCAACCCCACAGCTCCACTCTTGGGTGAATAGCCTAGAGAAACATTCACGCACATTCCAAAGGATGACCAAAATGCCACAGCAGCCACTCCCAACTGCCAACAGACCATTAGCAAACCTGCCATCTAGAACATCCACCAGCACTATCACTGATGAATAAAGAAAATGTGCCATCAACAGGGACTCAATCTCAACCTTACAACACTTTGCACAAGAACCTGACACAAGAGTTTCTGGCCTGGTTCCATCTACACACAGCTCAAACACAGACCAACCTCACTAGAGGGCAGGGTAAGGGTTATCCTGGGGTGGAAGACAACAGAGATTGGCGGGAGGGAGTTATCCCAACATCCCAGTAATGCCACAGATCTATATACCACTTGTCAAAATCTGTTCAGCTGTGCATTTGATTCGTATACTTTCCAAAGATAAAATAAAAAACTTTGAAGTTGGAAAACAAGATAGTCATAATTCCCAGAATGTTCCTACGCTACCCAACCTTTAATACTAACGTGACAGAATGACTGCCCCTGTGAAGCAAAGCTTTACAAAGCAGTGGCTGGAATCTGGAAAAGGTGCAAAACTAAGCACCCAAGGAGTTCGGAGGAAGACCAGGTGTGCAACACCTCACCCACAGCAGGTGCATGGCCCACCTGTGCCCGGAGGCTTACAGAATCCGGCCCTTTTCTACAAGTATTATTTCTCGGACTGAAGATTCCGTGTGGGTTTCCTGTCTTTTAAGAAATTCAGTTACTTTCCTAATGTTCATCAACCAAGCGAGCTGGAAAGAAGCAGTACTGACGGCCTCTGGGAATACTGCAGGAGATAATGGCTCTACACCCTCAGGACAGCACCAAGGAGACGGTAAGTAACCACATAATGAAATTATTGCTTTATTTATGGTAGTGTTACCAATTACTGTAAGGTGTGTGTGTGTGAGTGTGTTGAATGAAGTCTTGCCAGTATGCAACATAACTTCTTAAAATTATTATTAATCTTTATTTTCTTCTACCTGAAAAGGCAGACAGAGAAACTTTGTTCATCGAACGGTTCACCCCCCTCCAGTGTCCCCAACTGCCAGGGCTGAGCCAGGCAGAATTCCACCTTGGTCTCACAGAGGGGTGGCAGGGGCTCGAGCACTTGGGCCATCATCTACTGCCTCCCAAGACACACTAGCTGGAAGTCGGATCAGACATGAAATGGCGGGGATGCAAACTGACAGTCCAGTATGGATGCTACCGAATGTGAGCATTTCAAGTGCTGCCTTAACTTGCCACCCTGCAAGATACTGCTAAAAATGAAAGGTGCCTGGGGCACCGTGGTACACTGCATCAAGCCTGTGACTGTGGCGCTCGCACCCCACAGCGGCTCCAGTTCAAGTTTCAGCTGCTCCAGCTGCTCCAGCTGCTCCAGCTCCCTGCTCAAGTGCCTGGGACAGCAGCAGAGGATGGTTCAAGTCAATGGGTCTCTACAAACATGTGGGAGATCCAGAAGAAGCTCCAGGCTCCTGGCTTCCAACTGACCCAGCCCCAGCCATTGTGGTCATTTGGGAAGTTACTCAGTGGGTGGAAGATATCTCTCTCCTCTTCTTTGTAAATTTGACTTTCAAATACATCTTTTTTAAAAAAATAAATAAAGATGGGACCAGCATGGTAGCCTAGTGGCTAGACTCTTCGCCTTACATGTGCTGGGATTCTATATGGGCCCTGCTTCCCAACCATCTCCCTGCTTGTGGCCTGGGAAAGCATTCGAGGACTTTCTAATAAAAATAACTAAATCTTTTTTTAAAAATTTAGTTATTTTTATTACAAAGTCAGATATACAGAAAGGAGGAGGAGAAACAGAGAGGAAGATCTTCCATCCAATGATTCACTCCCCAAGTGAGTGCAAAGGCTGGTGCTGTGCTGATCAGGAGCCAGGAACCAGGAACCTCTTCCAGATCTCCCAAATGAATGCAGGATCCCAAGGCTTTGGGCCATCTTCAACTGCCTTCCCAGGCCATAAGCAGGGAGCTGGATGGGAAGCAGGGCTGCGGGGATTAGAACCAGCGCCCAAAAGGGATCCCGGCACATTCAAGGCGAGGACTTTAGCCGCTAGGCCATGCCACCAGGCCTTAAATCTTTTTTTTTTTTTAAAGATTTATTTTTATTGAAAGGCGGCTATAGAGAGGAGGAAAGACAGAGAGGAAGATCTTCCATCTGATGCTTCACTCCCCAAGTGACCACAATGGCTGGAGCTGAGCCAATCCGGAGCCAGGAGCCAGGAGCTCTTCTGGGTCTCCCACACGGGTACAGGGTCCCAAGGCTTTGGGCCGTCCTCGACTGCTTTTCCAGGCCACAAGCAGGGAGATGGATGAGAAGCGGAGCTGCCGGGATTAGAACCGGTGACCACATGGAATCCCAGTGTGTGCAAGGCAAGGACTTTAACCGCTACGTTATTGCACCGGGCCCAAAATAACAACCTTAACAATAAATAAAGGTGCTTGGGGCCAGCGCTGCAGCATAGTAGGCAAAGCTACCACGTGCAGTGCCCATATCCCATTTGTCCCAGTTGCTCCCAGCTCCTTGCTGATGGTCTAGAACAGCAGAAGACAGCTCAAGTGCCTGGGCCCACACACCCATGTGGGAGACACAGGAGCAGCGCTTGCCTCCTGGCTTTGGACTGGCCCAACTCCAGCCGCCATGACCTTTTGCAGCAAACCAGAGGATGGAAGCTCTGTAACCCTCTTTGTAGCTCTGCCTTTCAAATAAATCAATCTTACAAAACAAAACAACCCCCCCGACCCCCACCACCCTTGGAGGCGCATCCTGCCACTCTGACCTGGTGCTTCGGAGGAAGAAAGGAAACCAGACACAGCCTGCAGACAGATGGGCTTCTCCCCGCTGCCCAGGCAACCGCCGCTGATGCGCTGCTGGGACAGGGCCCTTATCTGCAGGACACTCGGCTTGTTTCTCCACTCTTTTTGGAATAAGGCCTATTCCTCAGAAGGCTCTCGGAGCACAAGGTTCACACTTGGCTCCTGGCAGGCACCAGTTCTCAAGGCCCTTGCGCTGGCCGCGGGCTCAGCAGGTGTGGGGAAGGCCCAGCACCTGTACTGGACCAAGGTCTCAGGTGATTCTGACACCAAGGCTAGTTTCACCTGGGGAAAACTCCGATGTGAATTCAATCCCTGTGAGTAACTATCTCACAGGATAACTATGTTAGAATTAGAGCTGAGCCCTGGACCAGACACTTGAGAAAATTCAAAAAGCAGCAATTAAATGTCACTTGAGTAAAACCTGGCACTGCAGAAAACAATGGCATCACTACTTGGAACAACTTCCATTTGTTGGATTATTCCCAACTGGAATCTAGAGGTTGGGGATGGCCTTGGGGCACAGCGAGTTAAGACACTGCCTGCAGTGCTGGCATCCCTGTTCAAGCCCCAATTGCTCCACCTCTAATGCAGCACCTTGCGTTAAGCACCTGGGGAAGCAGCCTAGGATTGCCCCTATATGAAAAACCTGTTGGAGTTTTAGGATCCTGACTTCAGCCTAGCTTAGCCCCCCGCCTTCCCACCCCTTGGAGACCTGAAGCACTCTCTCCTCTTCCATCATCCTGCCCTTCGAATCCTTAAAAATAAAAAAGCAAAACCCGGTAGGAACTGTCTCCCTTTAGACCTAACTTCAAGCAACGAACCCACCGTCCCAACTCTTGGGGGAAGGGGGAGGGAATTTCACAGCACCCCTATCTCCCAACTTCGGGGAACTATTTTATTGAAATGACAATTCTCAGAATCCCTCCTGATTCTTCCAGGGAATCACTGCTCTCACAAAATTCAGATTTTGAAGCCTCAGCCTTGCACGCAGTACCTCTAAGTCTTTTTTTTTTCTCTTGCTTTAATTTTTCTTAATATGTGCACAGCTAGAACTAAACAGTACCAACAGTACCCAAAGAAGTTAAAATCCCTGCTTATCCACTCCTCGCAGCCTCCACTCTAACTTAGTTACTGCTGCCTAGAGAGGGGTATGTTTCGTGAGAGCATCGCTGTCACCCCTCTGTGTCCAGCAGCATCCGCGGACACGGACACACCCATGCACCCTGCCAAAGACTCCCCCACTCACACTCCCAAAATGCCTGAACCTGTGCAGACCCCAGAGGACCCCCGCAATGTGAGTGTGTGTGTGTACAGCTACTCGTTTTTCTCCGACGAGGAGACCGTGAACACGTTAGAGAAAAGTGATTTTTCAACGCATCGAGGGGTTCGGGCGGGGAGGCAGAGGGGGCAAGCCCGGGCTGGGCCCTCGACAGGTGGCGACGCCACTCACCAGGTCGCGGATGAGCTGGTCCACCAGGGGCTCGCTGCCCCCGGCGCCTTCGCGGACCGGCGGGGAGCGGGAGCGGCTCGCGGCGTCCGACCTCTCGGCCCGGGACGCCCGCGCCCCCGGAGGCCTCCCCGCGCCCTCAAGGAGACCCTGGGCCAACGCCAGGTACCCCGAGGCCTGCTCGCCTCGCCCGGGGGTCACCTCGGGCCGCCGGGGCCGCCGCTCCGCAGCCTCCGGCCGTCGCCGCTTCCTCAGCGCCTGAGCCTGAGCCAGCTCCTCCTGCCAGCGCCGGCGGAACTCTTCCAGGCCCTGGTCGGCCATGGTCGCAGCTCCTTGGGCCTTCGTGTCTGCCACGGGACAGTCCCTCCGCGGGAAGTGTCCGGCCGTGGCCGGAAGCCGCGCGGCCGTTGCTTTTGAGTTCCGGAGCGGTGGCCACGCCCCCCCGGCGCGGCGTTCGTGCGCTCGTGGCCTCCCGGCGTGCGGTTCTCTCCCGGGCCGAGGGGCGTGCTGGCCGGCCGGCGCTCGGCACCTGCGCACCTGAGGCTTTGGTCCAGCCCTTCCTAAATAAAACAAACTCACAACTGCGACGTGGTCAGACACAGAATTCGGCGTTTGAGGCTGTCAAACAAAAACAAAAACTTCTTGGAGTTTCTTATATTCCTGTTGGAAGGGTAGGGAGGCGGGCTGCGTGAGAGAAATTAAGCAGGAGGAGGTGATGAGAGATTAAGTGAAGAGCTAGGTGAGGGGAGCGCGGCCATGGCGGGGGGGCCGTGAGGAGGGGATCTCAGAACTTTCCCGAGGAAACTACAAGCGCAAGGCTGTGACACGGGAAGCAAAGGGCGAGTGGCATGAGGACAATTCCATCATCAAGGGGCTTTGCGCGTGCCCTGCGGTCCGCCTGGGACGCCCCTCCCCACCTTGGGCCAGTGACACCCACATATCTTTCAGGTATGGCCGGACCCACACTCAGAGGGCATCAGCTCTTGACTGCCTTTTGGCCTTCATCCCATGTGGAAGTGTGTGGGTTTTGAGCCGCAGCTCCATGCTGCAGGCAAACTGACTGCTAAGGGAGGCCGCAGGCCATGGCTCAAGTACTTGGATCCCTGCTACCCAGATGGGAGCCCCAGGTTGAGTTCTTGAGACGCGGCTCTGGCCTAGACATGTAGGGAGTGAAGTAACAGACGGGTTCTGGGATGTCTCTCCGTGTTTTTCTTTCAAATAAGCAAAAATGGGCCCGGTGTGATAGCGTGGTAGTTAAAGTCCTCGCCTTGAACGCGCCAGGATCCCATATGGGTGCCAGTTCTAATCCCGGCAGCTCCACTTCCCATCCAGCTCCCAGCTGGTGACCTGGGAAAGCAGTCGAGGGTGGCCCAAAGCTTCAGGACCTTGCGCCCGCATAGGAGACCTGTAAGAGGCTCCTAGCTTCAGATAGGCTCAGCTCCAGCCGTTGCTGTCACTTGGGGAGTGAGCCATCGGACGGAAGATCTTCCTCTCTGTCTCTCCTCCTCTCTGTGTATCTGCGTTTCCAATAGAAATAAATAAATCTTTTACAAAAAAAAAATAAATAAACCAATAAAATAAAAAGGGTGTAGGATGCGACGTAAGTGTCCGACACCAGTAAGGTTTTTTTTGTTTGTTTCTGGTAAGCTTTCATTGTGCACACAATAAGAAGGGCCCGGTCCTTTTCCACAGCTTTCTTTCTCTTGGTGGACAGACCATTGCTCAGCCCCGCTTGTTTCCTGTCAGTGCACTTGTGTGTCCCCTTTTTCTTGATGAGCGCCAAAGCCCTCTTGACCTTGGAAGCCTTGAGCAGCTCTAGTCAGGGACAAAGCCTCATGCATCTCAGATCATGCGCAGATGAGGAGCCTGTAATAGCTTGTTCCTGTTCATGGTCGCTTCGTGTCCTTGGGGAGTCCCACGGACCTAGCTTACACAGATCACAGCAGCTGATCTTCAGTGTCTGCTGCCTGAGAAATATTTTCACAATGATAATTAAAATAATACAATTTTTTCCCCAAATACTCAATAAAACAGCTACTTTATCCTGAATATCTTTCGTATGGAAGTCCAAGGATCAGTCGAGCTTTATCTACTTGAGTCAAAAGCCAAATGTAGCATTCCGTACATGAACGCCTGGTCCAGGTTGCTGCTAAGGCACACCCTGGTGAGCGGCTCAAATGCTGGAGTCCCTGCTCCCCACTGGTAAGACCTGGCTAGAGTTTAGACCTCCTGGTTATCACCCGGCCAAATCATGGTGATTGTGGGCATTTGAGTAGTAAACCAACAGATGGAAGATCAGTTTCTCGTTTATCTATCTATCTATCGATCGATCTATCTATCTATCTATCTATCTATCTATCTATCTATCTATCTATGTCAGGATTAACAGAGAGATCCCAAATCTGTAGATTTATGCCCAAATGGCAGCAACAGCCAGGACTGGCCTAGGCTGGAAGCAGGCGTTAGGAGCCAGGAACTTCACCATGGAGTCCCACATGGCTGGCAGGGAACTAAGCACTTGAACCATCGCCTGCTGCTTTATCATGTATTACCAAAGAGCTGCATCGAAAGTGGAGCAGCTGGGACTCAAACAAGCGCTCCCATACACTAGACCAAGTATTGCAGCATTGTCCCAGTATTGCAGGCAGCAGCTCAACCTGAGATGCCACAACACTGTTTTCCCCTTAAAAGAATTTTTTAACTAAAGGGTTTTTTTAAAAAAAAAAAAAGACTTTATTTGATAAGTTTAATGAGAGAGAGAGAAGTACAGAGAGAAAGGTCTTCCAATTGTTGATATTCTCCTAAAATGATCACAGTGACCACAGCTGAGCCAGGCTGGAACCAGGAGGCTGCAATTCCATCCTGACCTTCCTCGGGGGTAACAAGGGCCCAAGTATGTGGGGCATCTTTTGCTGCTTGCCCAGGCACACTAGCATGGAGCTGGATTGAAAGGGGAGCCGCTGGGACTCAGACAAGCACTCCAGTAATGGGATGCCAGCGTTACAAACAAAATCACAACAAGGGCTCCTAACAGTTTTTACTGCAGTCACACAGGCAGGCTAATGGATTTGCAATCTAGAGAAAGTTTGCAATCTACAGAAAATTCAAGGGGAGGAGACGAGGACTATCCTAAGAAGAACAAAGATCTTGCCTTTTTTTTTTTTTTTTTTTACTATTGGCTACCATTCACTGATAATGTTCCCGTTGATTTTATATCTTTCCATGAGTACATTCCTGGGGGAACACATCTTTAGAAACAAAATCAAAATATTTTCCCTTCAGGGTAACTGTAAGGCTGACTAAGCACCTGTAAAATCCCAACATCCATAAAGCACAGAGTAGTAAAAGACATCTGCAATGGCACTAGGTCAGCGGATGAGAGCAGGTCTCATCTGCGCTCTGTTGGTGTGGATTTTCAGAGACCCCACCTGGGCCCTCATCAAAGATGTTCTTGCAAGCTCAAACCATTCAAGTCCTTTGGTTGCAAGCCACGTATGCCAAGTCTTACTGCCTTGTGCAAAACAAAACAAAACAAAACAAAACAAAAACCTGAACTGAATTGGGAGGATGTTTACCAAAGTCATACTAAAGGAGAACTAACCATACCCTTGGGAGGCCAAAATCCAGAGCAGATCCAGGATTTCATCATGGCCTTTCATGAACACCCCTAGAATGAGTCCCTTCCCTACATCCCATTTCTGAGAGTCTTGAAAGCATTTTGGATAAGGGATGCTCAACCTGGATTCTAGTCCACCTGACTGTTGGATTCCAGCCCACATCTTCCAATGAATCAATATCTTGCTCTTGAATAATTAGCTACAGATTCTATCATTCAAGGAATAACGATTTTTATTAGAGTGTGAATTGCTGTCAGTAGCTTTTAAACCTGAGCCACAGCTTCGTGGGTTTTTTGTTTTTGTTTTTTAATTTCCTCAGAGGCCAAGCAAGAGCTAGCTCCTTTTGCTGGTTCCCTCCTCAAATAACTATAATTGCCAGAGCTGGGAAAAGGCCAAAACCAAGCACCGGGAACCCAATCGAGGTCTCCCTTATGGAAAGCAGGATCCCATTTGCTTGAGCCATCCCTGCTGCTTCCTAAGTTCTGCATTAGATGGAAGCTGGAGGATCTGGCACAATGGCTCTATAGACTAATCCTCCGCCTTCAGGAGCTGGGATCCCATAAGGGCACTGGTTTATGTCCCAGCAGCTTCTCTTCAAATCGCAGAGCCCTGGGAAAGCAGAGGAAGATGGCCCAGAGCCTCGAGTCCCTGCACCCGTGTGGGTGACCCAGAGGAGGCTCTGGGTCAATTGGCTCACCTCCAGCTGCTGCAGACACTTACAGTGTGAACCAGAGGATGAATTATCTTTCTCTCTGTCTCTCCTCTCTGTAAGTCTACCTTTCCAATAAAAATAAATAAATCTTAAAAGAAGAAGAAGAAGAAGAAAATGGAAGCTGGAGTCAGGAGTCCATGGCAGGTAAAAGACTCAGGCATGCTGGTCTGGGATGAGGGCATGTTAACTGCTAAGCTGAATGCCAGCTCCCAGTAGCTCATGCTTGAACAATTCACAACTAGAGTCAAACTCCCTTCATCTTACATTGATGCATCCTCGGCTTGGGAGCAGAGTCACAGCTCATTTGGAATCACTAACGTGTGAAGAACACCAGGAGATTAATATGCAGGCAATTCGAGAATGGGCGACGATTTCCAAGGCCGTTGTTTAGAAACATGAACAAAAACGTGAGACTGTACAAGTGACCATTCTGAAGATCAACATGATGCTGCTACGTTGACGGCCATGGGCACGTTTGCTCTGTGACTTTGCATTTCTCCCTATAAACAAAATACAAAAATTTCTATGGGGAAATAGCAACAACAACAACAACTTTGGGCCTGATTTAAAAAAAAAAAAAACCTTTCTGGAGCTAGAAACAATTTGCTTGTTCTTGAGAACTCTCCCATCAATAATTCTGCTTTTTAAAAATGCTACACAGACGGGATCTCGTGTCAGCTGCCACTTAGAGACTTAGTCATTCACAAGGAGGAGGTTCCATATGGACCTCGATGCCTTCACCCTTCTCCCTCCTCGGGCCCCTTCTGCCTCCTCCCGTTTCAGCTCCCCAACCTGGCTCTGAATTCCCTCTCCCTGAAGGTGTCACCTCCCCCGACAAGGAGCACTCTCTGTCCTTAAATCCCCTTTTATTTCCCTTGAGAATTCAGCTCCAGCCGGATGCTCTCCAGGCACTCCCTGCTCAATGGCTTTGGCCTTGGGCGTGGGCGCTAGCCCACCAGCACATAACTCTGGAAAGAGCTGATTTCCTTGCTGGCTTCAAGAGGTAAAGCACTAAGAGACCAGCATTGCCATTCAGATGCCAGGCTG